TTGTTCCAATTCACCACCTCCAGGTGACTAAAATAATGCTTACGTAAATCAGCAAATTTGGGATTCAGTTTACTCAGCCAAAGATGGCTGTCATCATTGCCCTCAATCGGTACAATATTGATAAGAGTAGAAATTTGATTATCAAAAAAGCTCGGAACAGCCCAGTTGTCCCCCCAGATAATATCTTTCACCATCCAGCCAAAGTAAGGTTTAAAAGCAGGTAACATGTTTCCTTGAATCAAGTAACCAACAATTGAGACACCTCCACACCAAGGGTCCCAAAAAACAGAAAGACAGCTAGAAGACTTAATAGTAAAAGATATACAGTTTCTTATACCTTCAGCAATCTTACTAAGATCTTTCCAATATTGGGTACAGTTCGCAGCCATAATGTTCCACAGAGAATGATATTTTGCCCTCCTCCAGTCAAAAAGAAGATTATTGCTATTTAAGAACCTCCAAATAACAGAACAACCATAGCTATGATAAAGGGAATCATGAGAAGGGATTCCCAAACCTCCATTTTGCTTAGGAATGCAAGTATGTTTCCAAGAAACCATGTGAAGCTTTTTCTTATTGATGTCTCCAAAAAAGATAAATCTAGCACACATCTTGCTTAGCTGTTTACAACAAATTTTAGGTATTATAGACCCTCTTATCCAGTAAGCCAAGGTGTTACATATAGTAAATTTGATATATTGTATCCTTCCAGCAAATGACAATGTTTTAGCTTTCCAACCATCTAAAAGAGTAGCAACTTTTTGAATCAGAGGTTGGAAATGAGCAGACTTGAGCTTTTTATAGAAAATCGGAAGACCCAAGTAAGTAATTGGGTTAAAGGTTTGCTGGATATAAAGGATTGTACAAATAGTGTTTACTGTATTGGTATCCTTGGAGATAAGAATTGAGCTTTTAATAGGATTAGTATGGAGGCCAGAAACATCACCAAAGTTGCTGAGAATAGCTTTAAGGGCTTGAGCATTCTTGATGGAATCCAAACCAAACACAAGAAGGTCGTCAGCAAACAGTAAATGATAGATGGAGCATTTGCCAATCGAAATACCATTGAATTCATCATTAGCAGTAGCTAAGTCAAAGGAGGAAGATAAGCCATCCATAATAATACTGAAGAGGTAAGGAGATAACGGTCAGCCTTGTCTGATACCAGAGGTGGAGTTAAAATACCCTTCCAGCATGCCATTAATACAAACAGAGAAGTGCACATCAGTAGTGCAGGCTTTAATCCACGAAATGAACATGTCTGGGAAGCCTTTTGCCTCAAGTCTTTGATAGAGAAAGTCTCTCGACACCAAGTCGAAAGCTTTAGTGATGCCAAATTTGGCACAAAAGTACTTATGCTTAGTTTTCTGGTTGAAACTGCTCAGAATGTCAGTAGCTAAAAGGATATTGTCAGAGATGATCCTTTTTTGAATAAAACCTCCTTAGAGATTTTATAAGTGACATTACAAAGAGCAATAGGTCTATAGTCTTTGACATTACAAGCATGAGACTGCTTAGGAATAAGTGCTAAAGCAGTGGCTTTAATTTGATTGGGCATGTAACCAGTGTTGAAGAAGGAGATAACAGCTTTGCAAAGTTGAGTTTTGATGGTATTCCAAGTAGCTTTATAGAATTCAAAAGTGAAACCATCCGGGCCAGGTGCAGCATTAGGCTTAGCAGAGAAAACAATATGCTTAATTTCCTCAATAGAAATCGGAGCAATAAGATTGGAGAGGAGGTGTGTAGGGATCTGGTTTCCCACAGGGATATTATGAGAGTTGAGGATGGGAGGGGAAGGGGCAGGAGTGTTAAAAAGATTTCTGAAGTGGTTAACAAAGACATTAGCAATATCCTTGTGGCTGGTGAAAGTACCCAGGTCATTAGAGATCACTTTTATTCGATTGTGGTTTTGCGAAATATTGATCTTAGAGTAGAGGAACTTAAGATCATCCTCTCCATTAGTAAGCCATTTAACCTTGGCTCTTTTAAGCATCCAACTAGTGAGAGTATCCTGATAATAAGCAAGTTTAGCATTGACATCCTTCAGCAAGCAGTTGAGAGCAGGGTCTAAAGGATTATGCTGAAGCCGTGTAGTCATAGTGTGCTGTTGATCTTTAAGAGCATCAATTTGGGATTGAGTGTTATTAGCATTGAACCAGAGTTTTTGTTTCATAGCATTATTGAGGGTCTTAAGTTTGTAGCTGAGGGAACTTAAAGGGCTGCTCTCATTGGGGAGGGAAAAGACCTCTAATAAGATGTTCCAGAATTCAGGTTTCTTCAAGAAGTAATTTTTAAACATAAAGCGGTGCCCTTTGTTGACAGTTGGAGAGTTCACCAGAATCAAGGGGGAGTGGTCTGAGCAATCTGGGTCTTCTACAATGTAATAAGAGTTAGGAAAGGAATTCAGCCAGCTATCACTAATCAGCACACGGTCCAACTTAATGTGAATTGGGTTGTGGGTTTGCTGGTTGTGCCAGGTAAAGAAATAGCCCATATAAGAGAGGTCATGCAAACCAGCATTAAAAATCATGCTATTAAAATCACCAAGCTTAGAATAGGAGAGAGGGGTGCCACCACTTTTTTCATTCATATTACGACAGCAATTGAAATCCCCTACAATTGCCGAGGGGAGAGAAGTATTACTTCCAATTTCAAGGATGCTCTTCCAAAGGTCTTGTCTTTCAATTTGAGAATTGCTGGCATAAACCGCAGTAACAGCACAGGAGATGTTGGCATTGACAGAGATGTGACCATGAATAAATTGATTTGACATTTTGAGTGGCACAAAATTAACAGATTTTTCATTCCATTTAACCCAAATGCGTCCAAGACTAGAGTAACTGAAATTGTCACAGGTGGCTTCATACATGAAGATTTTATGGTTGGAAAGGAACCAATGGTCATTGTAATTGGGTTGAGTAATTTTAGCTTCTAAAATAAAGAAGAGGTCAATATGGTTAACTTGGGCTAGTTTTTTGCAGCTAAATACTTTGGTCGGGCTGTTGAACCCACGCAAATTCCAGGCTGCAATATTGGGCAAGGTCATTGGGACTTTGGGTTGGGGGTAGAGGCCTTTTTGGCTTTGCCTCTAGTTTGTTTTTGGTTTTGGCTAGCAGGGGGTTGGGCTTTAGATGAAGTGGAGCTAGAGGTAGTAGGTTCCATAGAAGAGGAAGGGATGTTAGGTTGATGTAAGCGAGGTGATGTCTGGGAAGGGCTGTTGAGGTTTGGATTAGTAGTGTTTGTAGGGTCACTTTTAGGTGTAAATGCGGCTTTGCCTTGATGGAAAGAAGAAGACAGAGTCTCCTCAGTGTTGTCATGGTCATTCAAGGCTTCAAATTTGTTTTTGGTAGTGATTGTAACAGGTTGTTTTATCTGTCCTATTGAGTCAGTGATGTCCTGGACATCTCCAGACGGAGAGTTAAGGTTCGGGATTAAGGTTCCTAAATTGGGATTTTGATCTTCAATGGGAATAGAAAGTTGAGGAGGTAGGTCGTGATTAGGCTGAGTGATTTTTTGGATTTGTGGAGGTTTAGGGATGTAAAGTTTTGGTGGCGGTGTGTGTTTAGGTTTTCTACTGGTACTTCTTCCCCTAGGTTTTTCGGCATTTTCGATTTTAAAAATTGGATCTTTTGGGCATAAGGTCGGGGGATGCATGATAGAGCCACACTGTGAACATTTTTCCGGTTTTGAGTCATATTGGACTCTAAGGGGGAACGATTTTCCTTCAACAGAATAAAAAATTTCCTCCGGAAGAAGAGAGGAACTAGTAATTTGAACGCACACTCTAGCAAATGTCAAACGAGTTTTTGCAGCAGTTAATGCATCAACAGCAATGGAAATCCCTATGCAGCTAGCTAGTTTAGAAATACCTTACGGAGTCCACAGAGATAGCGGCAAGTTCAATATTTTGATCCATAAGGGGATAGAAGGAAATTCTTCCCTTTTAGGCACAAAATCAGATGTCCATTTTTGAAGTATGAACGACTTACCAAAGAAAAACCACGGGCCTCCCATCCATGCATACTCGTAGTCTTCTAGAGCAGAAAATTTGAGCAAGAAAAATCCCTCGTCCATAGTAAGCAAAGAAATTGACCCTTTAAGTGGCAATGCCTTCTTAATCACAGAGAGAAGGGTTTCGTAGAAGGATCTTTTCCCGATCGAGTAGCCAACCAGCGAAAGGGACCACTCCGGAGCTCTAGCGTTGAACTGGTCGGCGGTGAACTCAACAGTGAGGTTCTGAGTATGGACGAAGGTTAGAGAGTGGGAGAAGTCGGTAGAGACTTGGGGGGTGGAGTTTAAAAGGTTTTTTCCAAAGCGGGAGGACAGTGGAAGCAGGGGATGCAGTGGAGGTGGAGGTGGAAGGGAGAGGGGGAAAGTCGTTCACGGCCATGGGGGAGGAACCCCCGGCCGGGAGGCGGCTGGTAAGCAAGAGGCGGGAGAAAACCCCGCTAACCCTAGCAGAGCGCAGAGGATATTTTCACCCGCATTGAAAGCTTGCTAAAAATTTTTAGAGAAAACTGAATAAAAAAAAAATCTATTAAATATCAATAGATCATAGATAAATCTAGCATGAGCTAGTCCTTGGCTAATTTAGTCACATCATTATCATAATAATATAAATAATTATAAAATAACTTTAATATTTATTATATCAGCATATATCAATTTAAATTTTTAATTAAATATCTATTTGAACTTTTGGAATTTGAGTTTGAATATTTTGTACTCCATCACATACATATTTAGGTTTCGTTTGTGACACCTTTTTTATAACTACTTAAAACAACTATTTTGTGTAAAAAGATGTAATTTTTGTACTAAAAAGTCGATTTAAGAAACACTAAAATACCTAGCAATACCGAGCAAATCCAGAGCAAATACCGAGTTGTAGAAAAACTCGGTACAACTCGGTATTTATATATTTTTGGTGTTCACAGAGCGGTATTTCTCATTTTTGCAAAGCAATACCGAGAAAATCGCGAACATAGCATTTCCGGGTTCCGCTCCGGGTCAAGTCGTTGGGCCGCGCGTTAAAGAGTAAAAGCACGTGGCAACATGTTATTGGCGGCCGATCGTAGCTCTACGTCAGGTCAGAGGACGTAATAATTGTTCCTTATTATGATACAAATTCAATAATTATATGTTTATCCAATTTTATATCTTTTAATCTTTATGAGCAATAGCAGAAGTTAGAGCTGCCACTTTTCCGCGTCTTTTAAATCCTTTTTCCGGTGGATAAATACCTCTCCAAAGTTGCTTCTCCTGCTCCATCTCTCCTCTCTCTCTCTCTCTCTCTCTCTCTCTCTCTCTCCGAAGTCCGAATAACAAAAACAGAAGCAGGGGAGGAGAGAACAACAGAGAGACAGGAACATGACTATAGAAGAGCAGTGCGATAAGTACACCATCACAACAGCTGAGGTACACAAATAAATCATCCATCCAACTATTTCTGTACTATTCTATTTATTATAAGAAAACTTAGGTACAAATTGACTGTGAAAATACAGATATCAGCGGAGCTTAGGGAGCTAAGGAGAATCTGCGTCCCCATAGTCGCCACCAACCTCGTTTCTTACCTCAAAGGCATGGTCTCCGTCGCCTGTATGGGTCGACTTGGCCCTCGCGAGCTCGCCGGCGGTTCTCTTGCCGTCGGCCTCACCAACATCACCGGCCTTTCGATCCTCTCCGGCATTTCCCTCGCCCTCGACCCAATTTGCAGCCAAGCTTCCGGCTCGGGCAATCCTTCCCTCGCCGTCTCCGCCCTCCGCCGCACGATGCTTCTCCTCCTCATTGTCTCCTTACCCATCGCCGCACTATGGTTCTCTCTCCGATCCATTCTCATTCTTTTCCTCCGCCTCGATCCTGCCGTCGCTGCCATTGCCCATGCTTATGTTCTTTCTTCTTTGCCTTCCCTTCTCACATCCTCCCTTCTCCTCCCCATTCGCTCTTACCTCCGTTCTCTCTCTCGTCCCCTCCCCTTCGCCGCCGCCTCTACATTCTCCTCCCTCGCCCTACACCTCCCCCTTGCCCCCTACCTCTCTTCCCTTCGCCTCGGGATCTCTGGCATCGCTCTCTCCTCCTCTGTTTCAGACTTGGCAACCCTCCTCCTCCTCGCCGTTTACTTTTTCCGTCCCCAAAATCAAAACTTTAAGCCCTCCGCCACGGTCGACGATCACACATACCTTCCCCTGAAGCCGCCAAAACCACTATCACCACCTACTCCTCCTCCTCCGCCGCCGCCGCCATCATCCGACACATGGTTGCCGCTTCTCCATCTCGCAATTCCCAGCTGCCTGTCCGTCTGCTTAGAATGGTGGTGGTACGAACTAATCATGACCATCGCCGCCGGGTATCTAACCGACCCACAATCTTCCCTTGCTGCCGCAGGAATCGTCATCCAAACCACCGCCTTGCTCTACACTCTTCCGGCGACTCTATCAGCGGCGGCATCGGCTCGAGTGGGCAAAGAACTCGGGGCGGGCCGGCCCGCCCAAGCTCGAGCCGCGGCTGCAATCGCGATGGCTTTGTCCCTTCTAGCTTCCTGCTTCAGCTTTGCGTGGGCCACGCTGGGCCGAGATGCGTGGACCCGGGTTTTCACATCCGATAGCGACGTTCTACGTATGACACGCGTCGCGCTCCCCCTAATCGGGTTATGTGAGCTTGGAAACTGCCCGCAGACGGTGGGGTGCGGAGTGCTGCGCGGGTGCGCCCGCCCGGCTTTAGGCGCCGCCATTAACCTCTACTCTTTTTACTTGGTTGGGGCACCGGTGGCCATTTTGTTGGCCTTCGGGTTAAATGTGGGTTTCATTGGGCTTTCTTTTGGGCTTTTGTCGGCCCAAATAACTTGTGCTGTTTCTATTGTTGCTGCAACATGGTGGATTGATTGGGATTTGGAGGCCCAAAAGGCCATTAATTTAGTCGGGCGGAATAGAGCTTGAAGTAGTTAAAAGAAGGGGCCACTTTCGTGTGTGTATAAATATAATATTGTTTGTAATTCTGTAGTTATAATGTACAGATTTGTATGATTATTAAAGTATTAATTGTATAATATTGGCTAAAAGATTGGTAGGAGGAAGTGACACTATTGAGGGGATTACAGTAGGAGGATGAGGGGATTATAGTAAGAGGAAAAATGTTTTAGGGGCTATTTGGTTTGAAGTAAAAGCTATGTAAAATATTTCAAATGCATGGATTTTGAGAATATTGATATTTGATTTGAAGTAAAATAAATGCTGTGTAATTTTCTTTGTGTTTTTAAAATCAACCCTCTAGTTTTTTTTTTTTTTTTAGAAAATGCCTCTAGTTTTTTTTTTTTTTTTGTATTTGAAATTTCTTGGATTTGGGCGAGTTCTCAATACATCAAAAATTCATTGAAATTGTTGTCACTTGAGGTCATCGCACATGGGCTTTCAGCCACAGTTGCTAATCATCACCTCCAGTCATCACCAACCGCCAACGACATCCACCTTCGGCCACCACAATTACACCCACTGCCGCCTGCTGTCGTGGCAACCATAGTAGCCTTCCTCTACTGTGCACCACCACAGTTAGCCACCATCGCTAACCACTACTGTTACTGCCCTTCACAGCTAGGCACCGCCGCCCCCCTACCATCATGGAGCATTGTGACATGTTACTGTTCACCATCGCCACTACTGGATGCCGCCGACCATTGTCGACCACAACTGGCTACTGATGACCACTATTGATCACCACCGCCGCCGCCCATTTTCTCTCACCCCCAATACTAGCCATCACCATCATCAGCTGCCACCGTCCATGCATCTTTGTTGGTCACCGTCGGCCACTACTGTTGCTAGTGATTGATTGACATGATTGACATACAGCTAGACTAATAGGGCACGGATATGAACATATGATGTATGATGGGGATATGAATGATATGTATATGATAAGATTGTATATTAATTATATGATATACACAATACTATTCCTTTTGACTGTTATAGATTCTTACAGATATGTGCTTACTATTTATGTTTGATGCATTGACTTTAGTTGTAGATATTAGCACTTGATGAGTTATATGCATTATGTGGTTTTTAGATGCTTACAACAATGATAAGGAATCTATGAATTGAGAATTTTATGGGCTGCAACTTGAAGTTCTTTCTACAAATGTTGGTCTTTCTATTTTATTCTTTTTATAGTTATGATGTATTTGCAATGCTGGTATATTATTAGTTGCATATCATGGCCATTAATACATTATTTTGGAATCTTGGTCATGGTATAAATATTGACCATAAAAATATATTTATGTTTTTCGGGGTTTATATTTTATATGGATGAAATTTGTAAAGTTTGGTTGTAGATTGAAATGATGGAGAGATGTGCAATTCTTTCAATTTAGGTCTTGAGGCATGATAAAAAATAGTATTAGAGCAATGTTTATTAGAAGGATTGAATTATAACCAGAGGAATCGAATTGATTATGCATTGGATAATGTATAAGAGTATTGAGATTACATTCATGAACGTGATTTACATAAATGTATAGATCTATCATAAATACTTAAATGCATTGCTTATGTATTTTGTTAAAAGATAAGTTAAACTGATCATGGACAAGAAGATGGATTCAAAAGAAAATAAGATTTTAAATCAGTTGCCGTTTATATTTGAGCAGGGGTGGAACCAGCTTCAATTTTGAGGGGGGGCAAATATAACAAAAAAATAATTAAATATTAAAAAATATTATTATATATTTATATATTAGGACAAGTTTTTTGGGGTAATAGAGAAAATTAACTAAAATTGAAGAAGAATAAAAGAAAATGGAGCAAATCATGCGTAATAATAGGTGATCCAAGCCCTTCCACAACATTAAGCCCAATAAATGATATAGACTTATAGAGCTCAGCATAAATTTAAACCTGAACTTCTCACTAAGGTAGTCCACATGCCACTCAATTCTACCACCAGGGTCAATAAAAAAATTACTCTATCAAATAGCCCCAAACTATAGAAAACCATGCTCACAGAAGACCAGCACAAAGAGCCCAAGCTAACTCCAACAACCAGCTTGAAATAAGGCTCTAAGCCATCCAACAAAAACTAGTAATCCATATACCAAGGATAGCTCCAAAGATCACATGAGATAATAACATCAAACTAGTAACCTTAGATCTTATAATAGAACCAACCTAGACTGAAAAGCCAACCAAACTCCCATGGATACCCCCATCCATACTATATAGCCACCTGGAGGTAGGAGAGCAAAAATTAAGAAAACCATTGGCATAATAACTAGTGCAATCACAGCTCAATTCCAGATCCACATAAATGTCACCTAAAATGAACAAAGCCACAAAAATAGACAAACAAAAAATCAACACCAGAACAAAAAAATAATGAAAAAGGTCACAACCATAGACCAAACAAGGTACAGAACAAACATAAACCATAAAAACCATTAGAGAAAAATTAGATCCCACCAAACATACGAGCAATGCCAACACATAAAACCACCAATCTAGGTAGCTAGGAAGAAAACCCAATATAAAGTAAGCACCACACACCAACTGGAAGATAAGAAATAGAGCAGGAACCCAACCAAACCTAGAACAACCAAAGTAGAATCCCAAATGAACCTCTAGAAGTAGAAAATATAGCTCGCAACAACACAGGAGCCGCCAACAACAATCATGACAGAAGAGAAAGCCAGGCCAAACTAAGGAATATGAATACCAGCCAAATAGAAATAAAACAACAATAAACACCATAACCCCACAAAGGGCCTCAAAAATGCAGCTAAGGAAAAATCTCTTAAAGAAGAAGAGCAAGAAGAATTGAATTAAACAAACATCTTAAAATCTAGAATAGGGTAAACCAATAGCATCAAGTATAAGAATTAAACAAACACCATAACCCTAATCTAAAATAGGGTAAACCAATAGCATCAAGTCTAAGAATACCTTTTAAAGACTCTGGAATTTTGGACAAAATAAAATAAAAAAAGACTCTAAACCACACCCCCAATTAGCAAGCCATAAAGCACAAGAAATACCATCCTTGTAAATATGATATAACAAATAATTCAAAAAAAATATATATTCTTAATATTCCTCACCATAAAAAAGAGATTAGGATTGCAACAGGTATCATCACCAGAATATAAGAACTAGAAATTATAATCAGAATTAACCTCAATAAAAATATTAGTTAAATTAAGAGACATACACAACCTAAGACCATAATGAATATCTATGGTGGTAGCATAGAAAACATTACCATTTTGAAGAGGACCAGCAAAGGAAATAATAAAACTACCATTACTATCTCTGATAGCCCCACAACAACCCACAGATGAATTAATGCTAGCACCATCCATATTCAGCTTATAAAATTTATGGGGGGGTTTGGTCCAATAAATAATATTAGACACTATAGCAATAGGATCACCCTCCAGACTATGTCCTAGAGCAGAACTAACAAAATAGTAGTTTTTAAAATTCTTAAAAGAGAGAAGTTTAATAGGGACAAGAGATAAAACCTTATCCTTCACATTCTGGATTACCTTATGATGATTCATATGAACACCATTAAAAAGAGAATTTTTCATCTCCAACCATAAGTACCATAATATGAGAGATGCAATTAAATTTATGATGTGCCCTTTAGATTTAATGAACCAAGCACTAAGCATATAATTAAGGGACAAATGAGTGTTAAAATAGTTTACTAAAACATTTCATCAAAATAAACCCAAGTTTTAGTAGCCATAGGGCCAAAAATAAAAAAAATGATGTATATTCTCAATATGGTAACAATATTGGCACATAGAAGGAAAAATAAAACCTTTTTTGTGAGATTATCTTCAGTGGGAATGAGTTTATGAAGGATTCTCCAGACAAAAACAACCACAATAGAAGGTATATTTTTAGGCCAAATCAAAGAGAAAATATTATCAAAATTCCTCCTCGATCTAAAATCATGCCAAGCATTCTTTAAGTGAAAAACAACGTCTTTAAAAAATCACATAAAATAATATACTTAGAAGCAGTATTGATAGGAAGATTCAGAATTTGATGAATAATGAAAATAGGAATAACATTAGAAAGTGTCTCATAATCCCAACAATTATCAATAAGGAAATAATTAACCTTAATAGCCATAATGGAGGAATAATTAATAATGGAGTCAATAGACTAGTTACTCAACCAATGATCTTACCAAAAGAAAGCATTACCTTCACTAAGCCCCCAAGAAATGAAGGGTTCAATGGCCCATTTAACCTTGCAAAGCCTCTGCCACACTGTAGAATCACCTTGATTAAAATGACAAGTAGTGGGGTGCATACCAACACAATACTTAACAAACTTAAAATTAGCTCAAAGGCTCACTTTAGCACAAAAATTATACCATAATTTATAAGAAAAAAGCCATAGAAAAATCATTCATATTTTTATAACCTAATTCCCCTTTATCCAAACACCACAGCTTTTACGACAAGTAGCCCAGGTAATTTTGGAATAAGTAGATGTACCTTTCCAAAAAAATTTATTGATAAGTTCATGCACTCTATTGCAAACCACTTGAGTCAGAAGAATAGTTTGAAAACTATAAACTAAAAAAGACCAAAGAATAATTTGATAAGAGTAACTCTACCACCAAAGCTCAAAAAATAGAATCCCAAGATAAAAGTTTATTATAAACAGAGGTAATAAGACCATCAAAGAGAAATGTTTTCAATCTATATTGAAAAAGAGGGACACAAAAATACTTAATGGGCAATTAACCATGCATAAAACTAATTAAATATTTAATGACTAAAATACGATCATTGGGAATTCTTTTGGAAGAAATAAAATAACTTTTATTTTTATTAAGAGATAAGCCGCTAAACAACTCAAATTGATAGAAAAAATCCATAATTTTATGAATCTTATTAACAGAAGAATTCATAAAAATAATAAAGTCATCAGAAAAATATAAATGAGATATGGAAAAACCACCCAACATTTTAAAGTACAGACTCGGAGTATTCTAAAAAGGATTGGTAAGGCCTAAGATAAAAATTTAGTAGCAATAATGAAATGAGTAGTAGAAATAGGGTCACCTTATCTTAATCTATGAGAGGATTTAAAATAATCATTACTAGTACCATTAACAATAATAGAAAAATAAACACCTTCAATACAATTCCTAATAAGCTTGATAAAAACTAAATTAAAGCCAAAGAAATTCAAAAT